AGCGCTGGAATTGTCAAAACCAAAGTGGCTTCACAGTTCACACTTATGTCGCTGGCGACGGTAAACGAAGCCTTTTCAGCTCGGCGACGACTTCCTCAGGTACCCCGTTAGGATGCGTTCTGGGAACATCGGCCGCATCAATGGACATGAGAGCCCAAGCGATGATTTCCCTTGCAAACACACCGGATGTATTCCTGTAAGCCTGGGTGAGCAGGGAAGTGCTGCAGTTCGAAGTCAAAAGACTCCTCGTCAATACGTTCATCTCACTCTGAGGACCTGCGAGCATGGACGGAAGACACAGTGAGGTTCCTCACACACATCCTGAACCGCGGCAAAGCCAAGCGGTTACACTGAGTCCTCTCGATGTCTGCCTTGAAAGGCGCTTTGGTCTAGTCATATTCCGTTCTGTGAAGACTTCAAGTTGATGTGTTTCACTGTTTTCCATAGAAGCATCAGCTGACGTCAAACGCAAGGTGCGTTCTAGGGGCAAAAACTCGTACGTGATTTCATGATCAGGTGGTGCTCCAGGTTCAGTCGCGCGCACCTTCGTGGATGGGGCAGGGCCAGACGGAGCGCAGCGTCTTTTCGGCATCTGCTCAGTAAGAGGCTTAGGTGGGCCACGAGAGCCCTCCCAGACCGAGTAAAAATCTGCAGCCACGTTCTCCACTTTGACCTCGGTCATTTTCGGTTGATCTCCGTAACCACCTTTCTTGAGGAAACCCTTCACGTACTGTAGCGCGTCTTCCCTGAAAGTGTCAGGCAGCATAAACTGTCTGCTGTACCTTGCAATCAGCTGATTTGTCTGCGATGGGAACATCTTGATAGTCATGGCGCTGGTTATACGCCCACAAGATTTCACCCTCTTCCCTTCGTCAGGCTTATCAGCTGGGGAACCCAAGACCATCTGAGGACAACTCACGAATTGCGTCTTCAATCATTTCACCTGCGACATGGTTCTTAGATTCTGCCGGAGTTGCAAACCCGCGACATCCCGCACGCGCTTTAGAAGACAAGGAATAAACATTGCGCGCGTAGGATCAACGGGTTGACATCTAGGATCAACTGAAATGTCATAGGGGATGTCATCTTCGACTGGCAGCACAACCACCTTTCCACTCAGTGTAATAAGACATGGACGCTTGCCAGACAACCAAACAAAATGGTGTCCTTCGCGCACCCATCTCCTACCGATGGACAGCAAAGGTGAAATATCAGGAAGAACATCTGGTTCTACTCCTTCATCAAACTCCGCGATGTTCATAGGCATGACTTCCATGCCCTTGGCGTCGCCATTGGCAATTTGGACTTGGATTGGACACTTGGCCTTCGATTTCCTGAGCTTCTGATCTTCAACCTTAGCTTTGGAGATGAGATCTGATCCACAACCTGTGTCCATGATCGATTGATGCCCCTTGGCTGCTACTTTGCTCCACCTCTGATTCGCTTTCGGAAATGGAAGCTGCTGCCCTCTGTTCCCCACGAAACTCTTGCATGATAATATCATTCGCGACGCAATCTCTGTTCTTTCCATACTGCACAACCCAAGTCATCCCGGGACCTGTTCAAGCTTTCTTGGGATTGGATCTGCTCTTATGAGCAACTTCTTGCATCAAATCTGCTGCGGACCACGCTGCCTCAACAGGCGCCTTGACGCCCTCGAGGCGCTCATCTGTGGAACAGACGGAAGCATTACACAATCTAGCTTTTGGGTGTCTTTGATAGTGATCCTTGGGCTTTCTCCAACGAGTGCCCTCTTTCACTGAGATCACATAGCTTCGTCTGTGTCACATCGGAGAATCTCACGGTTCTGGTGAATTCGCGGCGGTAGCTGCGACTTTGACTGCCGGGGCAACAGGCTTATCAGACTTGTGTACACATGGACATATGGACACTTGTCACCCTGTTGCAATTCCCTTTCTGGAAATGACGACAAACCTTATCTCCTCTTCTTCTTGGCGATGCGCTCCGAGACTTCGGAGGGCCATCTTCTCAGCCTTATCACGGTATTTTGCGTCACGCGAAAAGGGGCAGCCCTTTCCATTCTTGCAGTCACGCCTGACAAGGTAGAAATAGCAAGGCCGCTTCTCACCTGACGTGATCGTGACCCTCTTCCCTTTCCTTTCGAATGGGGATGCGATTTGGCTGTTGCGTCGGGAACTACAGGAACCTCTGGCTTATCGGGCTTGTCATTCTTTTCCTTCCCCTTCTTCTCCTGTTCTTTCCTTTTTCTCTTTCTTTTCTTTCTCTTGCTTGCCCTGTTCCTTCTCAGCTTTCGTTGCCGGAGCTCCTGGCTTTGACGGGTTTGTGATTTCGCGCCAGGCCTTTTCTTTCTCCTGCATACTCTTCTGTTCTCTATCCAGCTTGCCGCGTGTGACAATGAAGCACATCAAAAGGTCATAAGCCCTGCGATAGTGGGAATCCGGTAGCCGGTCAAAAAGGGAGAGATCAAACTTCATGATTGCTCAGACCCGAATCTTCTTGTAGAGGGTGTCTCTAAGCGTACACTTTGGAGCATATCCGTGCCATTGGTAACCGAATCTCATTCTTGTATCTTCGCATTCCTTGAGCGGGTCATCTGGTTGCACTTCATCAGCCCAGATGTCCTGAAAGCCACGTCAACATTAGACAAGTCTGCAGGCTCAAACACTTGAACATATCGATCAGCCCACAACATTCCATCAACTAGAGTCAGAACCAGTGCCTCATCCGGATGGCACAATCGTTCCCGCGGTTCGCGACGCAATCGAACCCAACATCGAGGCAACAGTAGCCAACGGTCTGCAGCCCTTGGTTGGCCAATCTCAGGATCGCCCAAACACATCAAAGCTCTAGCAACAACTCTTTCATTGCGTTACCATGATACTTCATTGACCTCAGTTCAGACTCAATCTTAGCTTCAGCACGGTTGCTACTAGGAACAGCTTTCCTAGTTACAATGGACTCATCCTGATGAACATCTTCGTAGGCAAATCAATCTGCTTCTGAGTTGCAGCGTCAGTCACTCTGACACGCTGCTTGGGTTTGCGCTCTTTCTTGCCAGTGTGCCTGACGTGTGGCTTGTATTCGGCGTGTGAAAAGATGGCACGAGGAAAGACTTGATCCCAGACAAAAAATGGGTTCGGCAATGCCTATCCCACTGAAGAGATTGACTGGAGAAAGAATCGCCTACAACGGAGTACGGTGATGGATCGAATGTGACCTTGCGCGATGCGAAGTTTCTGAACTTGCAGGATGCCAGAGTAACTGACTTCAAGCCCTGGCGTGGTCGAGTCGAGTTTCCGTTGGCAGGATTTTGGGCTTTCATGTCTAAAGAGTAAAAGATTACATGGCATGGATTGATCCTGATGAGACTGCTGCGCCGATTGCTTGCCAAGGAACATTGGTGTACTTGACGCCGACTGTCACCCCGTACAATGTTGCCAACGCAGCTAAAACTTGCTGGAGGCTGCTTGCCTGGCTTGTTGGCAGGGTTGGAGCAAGACGTGTCAGCAGTGACGTTGTCTGGCGTTTGTGATTGCTTTGATCTGTCGATTGATCACTTGCAGAAGGTTGGCATGTTGATTGCAGCAGTCAACGCTGCCAAACTTGGCAGTGGTCCAATGCATGAACGGACGTTGGGTGAGCCTGATTTGAAATCAACATTGGAGATTCCTGCTTCAGAGGCACAATCGGACAGTGAGATGCAAGCCATCACGGACAACAACTCGCACACGCTCCACTGTCAAAAGAAATCCATGAACAATCTGTCACTCCGGCTTGCGTGTGGAACTCACTCAGTCTCTGCTACAGCGCCATTCTGAAATTTTGACAATGAGGGCAACTCACCAGGCACAACAGTCCTTGCACCCAATGTTGCAACCAGCAAAGATGCGCCAACAAACAAGTGCATTCAACAGCCCAGGCTTGGCACTTGGCACCACGCACAGTCCTGCACGCTGTCCAGTCGTCACTGAACCAGGTCAAAGGTCCTGCGGAACCGTCGAAGAAACAATCTCAGGACTATGATCAGTAAATGAGGCGGCGGCATTCTCAGCACTCGATTGCTCAATCTGCGGAACACTCGGCTGGGCATTCTGCTGTCCACTGCTGGAAACAGTACTTTGCTTTACTTCGTTCCAACCCTGCGAACTCCAGTCAACACTTTCATTCCATCCATCATCCCATGACCAGTCATTCCATCCATCATCATTCCATGACCAATCATCGACAGAACCAATCGATTCACTCCATCCAGACTCACCATAGGAGTCATGATACCACTGAGCACGCTCAGTCTACACCAAATCTCAAAGCCATGGTCAGTGTCTTCACATCGATCAATCGCTCTAGATAAACCGTCAGTGATCTGGGCCAGAAGATAAGCCTACTGTCTAGAAACGATGGGAGCTCACTCCTGCCATTAATTTGTTGCTGATCATACTCTTGGCCCAGTTCATCAGTGATCTCCTTCGGGGTCCTTTCAACCTCATGCATTAGCCCTTTAGCCAGCGTGGCTTGTACAGTCCTACATCTCGCTTCAATTGCCAACTCCAATCTTCCCACTTGTCAATCTCACCATTATGAGTGGGAGGTGGAAACAATTTGATCTTGCATTCCCAATGACTTCACTCCAAAGTCCATTCTGGATTCAATCTACAAGGCATTGAATCTTTCAGTGCTCCGTTACCATGTAAATTTCCAAATACACAACATCAAGAATCAACGTATCCAAAATACAGTTGATCAATCAATCTCTCTCCACAGTCCACAGCAAGCTTGATCAATCCTTTCTACACTCACAGTGACAGCAACCCAGCCTTGAGCCAAAAACCATCCTTTGGCGTCATTCAGTATACTCAGAGTCCAGGACATTGTGTTAACACTGACATCTGACAACTACTCCACGACCACCACGACCACCACGACCACTACCAAAGTACCACCTCTGCCACTACCACTGCCAACGCCACCTCTGCTGCTGCTACGGGCAGCTGCTGAGAGGTGAATTGGAGAGCCCCAGCCTTCTCCACAAATGTACTGGTGATGATATTCCTGAGATATCCGAAGTCAACATTGGGACAGAAACAGGCCTTGTCTGTGTTTCTGTTTGAGCTCCTTGTGTCAGGGGCAGTTCTCGCTTGCTTTCTTAAGGCGAGGCTCCAAACGGAGATGAAGACGAAGGCCACGTAGCACATGAAGGCAGCAGGCAACACTGGCCTTGCTTGCACTGAAGCTTCTGGGCTTCCCTAATGCACACACTCCTCTTCGTGTGTGGCGAGCCCTTCAGCTGATGCTCCCCGCTGGGAATGACCGGGGCACCAGCCCTGAGATTGCCAGTACCAGGTAGGGATCCCTCCAGTCCACGCCGTTCGTGCTCGCTTGGAAGAGGGTGATTACGGTCATACCCACCTGCACGACTGGCGAGGTGCAGCCTTTTCTCTTTCCCCAACTAAGGCTACCCGAAGCTGTCGTCTTGGGCCAACACAGAGCCGAAGAACCTGTAGATCTCCGCGACAGTCTCAGGACCTTGGATCAAGAAGATAACCCCTTTTCTCTTTGGCAGTTCAGCGAACCATCACTTGGGTCAAGTGAAGCATGGGTGGCATCATCACCCCTGTCTCTTAATCCTCTTAGTCGACCCAATGCCTTCAATGTCCCTGCCTCCTGACACCCAGCTCACTGAGTCTTTTTCTTCTGATATGTTTCAACAAACCACCTTCAGCTTCAACAACGGATGCACCCCGATTGCGCCACAGCGACTCTCCCGTCCTCCATCCTCCACAAGGTACGAGGCCAGAAGCTGCTGGACAAAGAGCGCAAAGACGTACATCACGAAGATCTGAGAACGTTCAGGATGTTGGGGCCCAGCCAGCAGGGCTGCATTACTAGACTCACTTGAACATAGAGTACTGAGTGTCTCAGACACAGGCTTCTGGGTGATAAGTTAGGATACTTAGGAGGCACTAACCCCGGTCCCACAACCGGTTCGGCAGTGGCAGTTTGCATTCCTCACACTTGCAATCGGCGCAGTTGCACCCTATCCTGGGTTCCCTTGAAGCAGCTTGAGTGATGCAAAGAGCATGAACTTGGGATTTCCAACTATCTGACCAGGCAAGCAGCCAGCATGATGACGCACCAAATCACCTCAGGAGGCGGATTTCTGCATCACAGTTGGCTTGCAGACTTCTTCAAAAGAAGTGCTGAGCTTCGGGCATTCAGCAACGAACCTAGCATGCCTGCAAGAGACAGGCAAACTGATTGAAGGTCCAAGGCTGGCGGCTGAGGAGAACAACTGAACAACTGACCGACCGCTCTGTCTGCAGTTTGAGCTGCAGTCCAGCATGAGCCGCAGCTCACTGAAAAACTTCAGTGTGCGGAAGATGCGCAGAATCTTCACGATCTTGCACAGGCGGAAAAGCCTGGGAAAGGCCAGCACAAAAAAATAGTTTCGAAAGGCTGTGAGCCACCCAAGCGCAGCGAAAGTGAAGCGAAGTTTGCCTGAGGAAGCCCAGGTTGACGCTGGTGTCCTGCAGAAAATGTCATCGAATCACCCCAGACTTGCATTGCATGTCCATGAAGATAGATGATACGCAAACAAGAGATGTTGCATGAGCGTGTGGGTGGGATTGCGCAACTCCCTCATCTACAGGGTAGGGTCCGTGGCCGACGCGTTAACAGTTGCCACTTCCCAGCACAGCAGTCTAATCCCAAATCTAAGGATCCTGGGTTCCATGCATCCAATCATAGGCCAAGACATTCTCTATGATGGCGAACCTGTGCCGTTTCTTGAGATCACGCCGCGGATCTCGTACTGAAATTAGGGGGCGCAGTGTGAGAAGCACTCCGCACGACGCAACCTTCTCAGAATTATAAAGCCCGAGCTGAGAAGGTGGTGCACTTCAGATGCTGTCACGCTGGATTGGAAGCTTTACGGCGACTAGCAGGGCTGGTAAGCCGATAAGGCTTCTTGGCTTCAACCCCTCATGATTCTTTTGCATCAGCGCAAGGCATTGTCCCCAAAAAGCCGAACTGTTTCTACTTTGAAAGAGGCTCCAACCCTGACATTGACATGCCCCATAATTAGAGCCCACAACGAACCTGTGAACTTTTCAGGTATTGCTCCATGTCTCGTGCTACAAAGCCTCCAAGGGGGTCTTGAACACGGGATCATGATTGTGGGACCTGGGTCCCCCTACTCCCTAGCTTTCACAAGCCCGCCACATCCCTCTAAGGTGCAAGCAAAACGAGGGAAAAGTCAAAGAGGTTCCATCTCCTCAGAGATAGCACGATTCAAGTCTTGCAATGGAATAAGTATACAGTAGAAGGCACATTGAAGCTAAATAGCATCTGCAACCCAGAGATACAGAAGCTCGCTCGGGCATGGAAGGAAACTCTGTCTATCTCTGTTCACGCCTTCGGCAGCGTGGAGAATCAAATCTTGATGACCGAGCGAACTTTCAGAAGGAGTTAAAAATTACGCAGCAGCACCCTCTTTCACTAAGAAACAAGATTACCTTTGTATCCAATTGGAATGACTTTCTCAATTGTAGGCGCCGCACCACTCGCTGTTCCAGAAGAAGAATAATTTGTGTACGGTGAGCTTCAACATCACTTCTGCAACCTGTCGGCTGCTACAGTTCCTCAAGGAAAGGCTTGTTGGGCTTGCTGTGAAAGCCTGGGAAGTTCTAGGCAAACGGTCCGGTTCATAGCGCTTAGCAGCATCCATCAGCACAAGAACCGATTGCCGAAGTGCGAAAAGCAAAAGATGAGAACGCACGGACACGGTCTGCATGTCCATTGAGGATTGCACTGGAGAGCTACCACAGGAGCGGTGCAAATCTGGTGAACTATGCTTGGAAACTTGCAGATTCCCAGTGCAAGGCACGTAAAAGCCAGCGAGGCAGAGGTCGACTGACCTTGAGTCATTTTGGGTGATCCGAAGCGGGCTCAGACAGCGCTGAAAATTGTGGAGGTCCCGCTGGTCCCGTTGCTTCATGTGTAAGTGGTCATTCAGAAGCTTTGAGAGGCGCGGGCCGTATCTGAACATTTGTAGGCTCGCTGAGGTTCTGCATTTCGTAGTCTGTGGCATACAGGATGAAAACCTGACTTGTGCAAGGACATGCCACCGAGTCATGACAGGCTACAAAAAACTTGCGTGCAGGGCCTGCCATCATGAGCACTAGCTGTGAGCAGGGGAATTGCCTTCTCCGGCTTGATGCCACGATAGCCGTGCGAATCTTCTGGGGCCCTGCTTCTTCGTAGAAGAAACGCCGTATGCTGTCTGGGCCCCCCACCGCGTTCGCCAAGATCACCACGGTGGAGACCAAGGCAAAAGAGGCGCTGTCGACCACGCGCGCCAAACACCTGGGCTCAGGTGGGTCGGCAAGCCTTCTGGTGCTTCAACACTTTTCAAAACATCTCTTTCACTGTGCTCTGTGCTTGGCCACGGCCCGCACCCGGTTCGCTCCGGCTCCTTCCGCTCCATCAGCCACGCGCAGAACATGATGAAAGAGGCCTCAGAGTGTCACTCAAATGCATCGACCACCCAAAAGGCTCCCTTGGCTTCCACAGCCCTGCTTGAGATGCTGGCAACCATGCGGCTGCAGCGGGTATCTTGCCGCTCCACCGCGGAGTAGTTCGATCTGCAACCACAAGGCTAAAGTCAAGGACTGGTGAAGGATACCAGCAAGGAGGCCTGATGAAGCGCACGAAAGAATTGCGGAACAGCTGTATGGGCTGCGAATTGATGCCATTGATCCTCAGGGATTCAGGAAGTCGTGGAATGCCTTGTTGTTCAGCACCGGAAATTTGCGGACATGCATCGAATAAGTGTTGTTGACGCCCTCGTTTGGTAGGCGGCTCGCTGCGGTCCCCTTGGACCAATCGCCGCGGAATTTGTTGCGGCCCCTGAACACTACAAGTCTAGGCGTGGACCTACAAGTCATGCGAATAGCCATGTCACAAATTTGTTAAAGTCCGGCTATGCCGGGCTATGCCGGTTGAGGGGAGCAGAGCAAGGATGGCTTTGGCACGGCTACGGCACGGCTTGAGCCCCTGCCTTGGAGGGCTGGAGGCTTGGCCAGGCTGGATGGGCCGCATGGTCTCCACCGTGGCTTCCTGGGCTCGCGAACTCTGCCTTCACATACCTCGCTCTCTCAGGCTCCCAAAAACAGCAGTTCAGTGGCCGGTTTCATGGGCAGCGCCATCATGAGAGGCGGCGGAGGCTCGATGGCCTGAGGCCTCGGCAGAACCCCTACGGATGCATCTTGAGCAGCAAGAACAGAACAGCAATACATCGGAATTGCTGATTCTGTACCCGCAAGCTGTCTTGAAGCTCATCCCACTGGCAGCCCAGCTGCCCGAAGCTACGGCGGCCAAAGCGCACCTCGCGAGATTCTTTGCGCTCTCCTGGAAGAACATGAAATGAGCGCTTGCAAGTGAAACGCAGGTGTCTGGCAAGCCTTGCTTTCTGAGGGGTCATGACTTCAAGGGCTGACACTCAGGCTCTGACGCTTTGATGCGCTTTGCATACGCATTTAGATGTGAGCATTGGACGTGTCAGGGGCATGACAGGTATTGATGCGGTAGGAGTCTTGTGCTGTCCACTTATACGCCACGGGCAACAAACAAACCATCATCGAGAACAAAAACAAGATAGGTCAGGCAACGCCTGGTATTCATGAACTTGGCATGGGTGCTTGGGAGGCAGGTGTCACGGGCGTGTCACATGGATGCTTTCCGCGGCTTCACGCGGATTTCGAGGCAAAGAGGGGAGAACTCCTTCTAGCTAGACTGAACGTTCAATGAACGGTTGGCTTAAAACGTACCGGCCAAATCTCCACTGGCAGCCACAGGTTCTCGGTGACAAGAAGCTTTTCTTTGAAAAGCCAAAGCTTTGAAATCATTCACAAAGGTGGATGTTTCTTTCAAGCTGCGACATGCTGCGACCTGAGCTGGGCTCCTCCATCGCCTTGGCCTTGGCTTGGAGGTCGACTGTTGCTCTCCTTGCCCCACACTTTCTTCACACTTTCATTGCTCTACTTCTAGGACTGCAGTCAGAGCCGCATGCGAAACACAAAGATGTGCCAAGGGTATAGGACAAGTCCTCTTTTTACTGGTCCTGTCCTTTGACGCGGCGGCGCTCGACGGTTCCGGTGTCTTCAGGGCCTGGAAAATCTGCAAAGCTCTGGGGTCTTGCACAGCCCTGTGCATTCATGAGCTTAAGTCAAGTCGAGCTGCTGAGGGCCGCATCTCACGCGGCGCGTGACGGAGCCTTTCCAGCTGCAGCGAGAGATTGAAGAGCCTTGAGCAGTCCAGGATTCGAGTGCAGGCTTGGCGCTTTGGTGCTTGAGGCAGCATGCCATCCTCATCAACAAAACTAGTTTGCACGCAATTGCAGAACGCACCAAGGTCTGGATGCAGCTTTAACGCATTCCACATTGGTGGACCCAAGCCAAGCAGCAGGTCCTGCTCTTCTCGCACCAGCTTGCCCAGGTCCTAGAAAACCAGAACACCCCTCGCCCCCTTGACATCCAGTGGCCCAGTGGACTCCAGTCCTCGTTGGTCTGCTGGCAGCGGGCCAGCAAATCTGCAGCGGCCCCCGCATCAGCATCCGGCGTGTCCGGCGTGGGCGAGGGGCATGGCACGGTCACTGTGCAGCAGCCCGCCAAGGACATGGCGAGGAACGCGCTCAAATCCCAGGTTCCGGATTCCCGAGGCCTTCAAGTATTAGTAACAAGGAAAATACACATGTCTGTCACCTCGATTGATTTTGCAGGAGTTCTGAAGGTTTCAATGGCCGATTCCGATATCTGGCCGGTTCGAATTCTCACCTGCGAAACAGCACGGGTGTTCACCCGATCTGTTTGCGAGCAGACCTGGGTTCCCTTTGGGTGCCCTCAGGGTCAGCGCCGCAACGCGTGCAATCCAGGCCACGGTCGGTCCAAGGTCCAAGGATGCGACGCTTGGCTTCCGATATTAACTCCCTGGGTCCCTGATTGCACACGCTTAAAAGTCGCAGGCTATACAGATGGCAACTCCCCAGAGCCGAAAGACAACAAGTTCTGACATGGACTGAAGCACGTGAAGGGCTGCTGTTGGCACAAGACCTGCATGAGATTCTCTTTTCCTGGGATCACCGCTTGCCCGCTGATGATCAGCAGAAGATTGCAAGCGTAAGTGAGGGTCTTCTTGTCCTCAGATCCTAGGGTGAGAAGTGCTGCGCTCTGGCAGTGACCGGCTTCCCGCGCACTATCCGACACGGCCCCTGCAACTGGCTGCAACTACTCACTTCTCCCTGCACTTGTCAGCACTGGGCAGCGTCATGGCAGAGCCCCCGCAAAGAATAAGCTATTCGGCACGTAGCGCACGCACCGCAGCATCGGCATGAGCCCCGTCCCGCGTCGCCTCAAGCGTCACGGACAGAACCCGCCGCCTTGTGGAGCCAGTTGGCTCCATGCGCCACGAATTTCGGGCGGTTTGGGCACCCAGCTTCTGAGGATGGCGAAGCATGATTTAGCTGCTGACTTCATGGATGGGCCGTCCAAGAAACTAGAACGAAAAAGAATAACAGCTAGTAGCCAGGCTTGACAGCGATAGAACAGCTACTGTTCCGAGACTCAGATTTCCAATTACTTCTTGTATGGCTCTCAAGGTTGAAAGAGAAAAGGAGGTCTGTGGCTGCGAGATATTCTGGTTCCTCGCCTTGCTTCAGACGCCAGCGCACCAGCTGCGATTTCAACACGCGGATTGTGGCCAGGGGCTGGTCACTGACTCTGCTAATGTACATGCAACCAGTCTCGTGCAAGATCATCATAGCCCCAAGCCTCTCCGCGGAACTAGACTCACTAGACACTTGCGGCGCCGGAAGCGCCCGCGGCTGTCACAGCACCCTCAAGAAAGTCACGGGGTTCGTTTAGGGCTTTAGGCAGCATCTCAGACATGTCACAAGTGACAAGGTCTCAACTTGACAATGAGCCTGGGCAAGGCCGAAGAAAGCCACCAAGGCAGTCGTATTGTCAGTGGAACCTTTCAGGGACTTGCCCAATCTTGCCCGTGTTGTTAGTCAATGTAACCACAGTGGCCGGTTGTGGGGAAAGCACCTGCTCGGAGGGCTGCCTTGATAAGAAGCTCGGGTGCCTGTGGATCAGTCGGTGGCAATCCTCTTTCTCTTCGCTGGGTAAAAAATGCAACGCCACCTTGTCGTACATGCGCTCGGCCACGCTGCGCTCAACCACTGCACGCGCGTCGCCGTCGGCCCTGTGGATTGTCACATGAAGCTTCTGACAACATTCTTTTGAGGGGCTGTACATTTCAGTCAACAAAAACAGATTCTACCTGCACGAAAGCCTTGCATGCGTGTTGTGCAGTTTTGCGTTGCGTGTTCCATGCCCCTGTCAAATTACAGGATTCGTATGTCCTACGAAGTGGACACAGCTTCGTTTAGTGCTTTTCAACGATGCCAGAGTATGCGATTGCGTTCAGGCATTGTGACGGCTACAGCTCATGGCTGCATGTTCCAACGAAGGAGGACCTTCAATCAAGGCATGACTGGGCCTGCGTGCCACACTTTTGGCACTGCTCGCATTAGCCCGCCACATGACCCGCAGAGCGCGGATACTTTCAGACCCTTTTTCTGCTTTATCAGAAGAGCCGCGGGGAAGTATCCCACGGTCCCGGGTCTGCTAGCACCAGAGCAGGTTCAGCATGTTTTTCTTTGTTTGTTTGAAGGCTTGCCTGTGGTCTGGGAGAACACCAACAGGCAGAATCTTGTCCGAGTCGCATCACGTCCCAAAGGCCGTCGCTGGCTATGACCAAAGCTGCGTCCTGCAAAGACGGGAGGAAGTTCAATTGCAGAAGAGGCGTGGTTTCAACAACATTCGGGGCTCGAGATCCAGGAAGACTTCAGCTGGCTTAAAGCAGTTAATTCAAACTTTAAGTGGATGGTGCAATTGGGGGACCCGGCAAGATGAAAGCTGCATTGGAATATGTTTCGAAGCTGCCGTGGTCTCGTTGTAGTCAGGTGGAAACGACTCTCACTGTCAGGAAGAGAGGACAATCATTGCTAATCATTCCGTTTTGCAGCTTGCGGTATCGGTCTTGGTTTGGGATCCATCGAGTCAATTGCAGCCCGCCGTTGCTTGCCTCTCAGACTGAGGGGGCAGAGGTCAGCACTTGGTGGCTCCAAAAGGACCCTGCGGGAAGGCACCTCAACCAGAGCCCTAGGCAACTCATAGTGCAGAACATCAACTGACAGGAAAACTGAACTCAACAAAATTGGCTGACCCAGCAAAGCAGTGCGGTCCTGTGCCACCTCGCGCGTGCAGACGTGAGGATGCCAGGTGACACCTTCAGGTCATTTCAGCGATTTGGAGTGAGGCTAGCGGCTAACAGGGTCACAGGGGGGGGGTCCCAAGCACTACACAAGGCACTGCGCTCGTTGCAGCCGAGAGGTCTGAAAGCCACGTTCCACTGGCTTTTGCAGGACAATTTCATTCTTCATACGCATGCAATGGCCCCAAATACCGTGCCTGTCAATAAGTCAATAAGTTTAGGGTTGGCCCAAACGCATCAAAACGCGCGTGAACAGCCTTGTGGAGATAACAACAAAAGCGGTGTAACTAGCCAGCTCAATGCATGGCCCGCATTTGGTTGGCCAATGTTGGCCATGTGTTGCTGAGCTTCAAGAGTGCAAACTGACCGAGCGCTGAATGTGCTTAAAGGAATTCTTTACCCCTGGAGGCTGTGGTACCAGCGACACCGTGCAGCGGCAGCGTCTGACTCGCCTCCTGTCTCCAGTTTGGACTCAGACGAAAGGAGCAGGGCGTAGAGACGTAGAACACGTAGAGACGTAGAGGCGACGCAGGCCGCTGTGTGGTCCACTGGGTTGATATCGACCCGGTGAAGCTGAAGATCATTTTTTGTGGATGCTGACCAAGGAAAGTCTTACCAGAGCATACGGTCTCCCCCAGCATCCGTGCTGGCCAAGAAGAACAAATTCGTGTTACCAGTTACCAGAGCATACGGTGCCCCCAAGAATTTGGGGAAGAATTTCTGTCGACCCAGCATCAGTCGGGCTAGAATTACCTGGGTTGCCAGCCAAGGTTTGTTCGCTTCCAGATTTTATGGTGCGGCATTAAGGCTTCGGAGTGTTTCTCGTTCTGGGGCAGGAGCTCACTGAGTAGACAACTCCTCGGCATTCGGATGGCGCGCTTGATGTAAGCGCCACACCACAATCTTTATCTGGGTTTGCGAGGCCAACGTCTGAATCGAAGACTTAGGTCCTACATAGATCCGTGCCATCAGCTAGGTTTGAGGTCCCATCATTCCTAATAGCGTCGCAGGTGGCTGCTCTCATGCGCGCCGATTCATGCGTGAATGCTGAATCTGCTAGCTCTGTCAATTGGTAGAGACGTGTCCTGTCAAAAAGTGCGCAGAGATGTTCAATCTTGCTGCCCGCTCCTGGCATGTTAAGAACCACTGTGACCACTGAGCATCGTGCCCACGGACTTCAGCGAATGGTCCCCCAGCGCACGGCTGACCCCAAGTTGGCCTCGGCAAGAAGTCTGCGAAAAAGAATTCAGAAAAATCACACTTACCTCTGTTGACTCTTTTGAATCCTGAAATCCGCCGACCTTGGGCGGGCGTGTTGGATGGTTAAGAGGGTAAAAACCCTCTTCTTTTCTCCCTCACAGCCCAGAAACGTGGGAGGGGGTACAACACCGAGCCACAGCAGCCGTTTCAGCCGACTCCCACCCATTCGCCAGGCTCCTTCCAGTAGCTCAGCCCCGGGCCCCAGACTCCTGGAGCCCGACCAACATTATCATCAGCGGTGGTCATCCACGGTAAGGTCTCATCAAGGATTGGACGCAGCCAAACGCGGGTGAAAGCAGCCCGGCCTTTTTGTCACCCCTGGTTCTGGTGGTCGTGTTACGTTTTGTGCACTTTTGTTAAACCGTTACCTGCGCAGACTACACATGTGTCTACGTCCGCAGCGGATTCCCGCACAGGTTCTCGCGCACTTTTACAGCCCGTGCCAGCGCAATTTTACCCCGATCCGATTTGACATCTGTCTTGGGGCTCGCCAGCCAAAAGTCTTTTCCTTTTCCGGGCAGAAGCAACGCTGCCCCAATCCAGTTCGACATGTGTCATACCAAAAGTTGGTCCATCCTGGGCCAAAGGCTTTTTCCCCTTTGTGTCTCAAATTCGCAATGCGCACGCGTGTACGTCAGCCGCCATTTGCCGTGCCTGCGACCCTCCACCCACATTGTCGCTTGCACGCACGCGCCTCCGAACCAGCCGTTTGATGTATCGCCGGCGCCGTCTCCTGCGAGCTCTTCGAGCACACGCGTGCCGAGGCGGGAACCCGTTTTGCGCCTCTGCGTCCGGCGATACCCAATACACGCGCATGCCGCGCGCATGCGTTCGCGAGCGTGGGCGAAACACTGACGTCTGAGCGGTGCGGCGTCCTGTCACAACCGCTCATGCCATGTTGCGACACTCCACTTGCCGCGTGGCGTCGTCGCTTTGATACGCCACGTCCGTCCCTTCTCCGCCTCTGGGGTCGGCGGACTGAGCCGGAGGCTCTTAAGTCTGGCCTGGCCGTCGTGGTCCAGTGCGGATGCACGCAGGTGTGTTTTCGGTGGTCAAAAAAGAAAGTGATTTTTGGCTGCATTGTTGAGGTTCCCCGCACGCTAGGGATGGTGTTGGGCATGAAATTCTGGGCCAGCATCATCAGCACAATTGGGCCTTCGTTTCTCACTTTTGGCCACCTCAACATACCTAGGGTTGTGGAGGGGTCTTGAAGCCTC